ACAAACAGGTTTGTACACACAGCAAATTTAATCACAGAGGATTACAACTTGTCATGCTCGTTTCTGTCAGCATAAGGTTGTATCGCTGCTCGGGAGGGGGTCTGCTTGATCTCTCCACAATCCCTCAGTAAGATCACAAACACAGACACAAGCACACACTCTCTGCTGCTAATGCCAATCTTCCCAAGTGTGTGTGTATATGTGTGTACCTGTGCTTGTGTGTTGTTTGTAATGATGTCCACTACAACAGCAGCTCTGTGCCAGCTATGGCTCATGTAGAAACATGGAGTGGATGATGGAAGTTGGCTCGCTGGTGGATTTGTTTATGGAAAAAAGGATTTTGAATTGAATCATGCAGTGAGCTCTTTTGCTTGAACACTCTGACCTGTGCACTTTTTTGTGTTTACGTGTTTCTCATTATTATAGCCTAAGTGAAATGGATGCACCGATGGATGTTTGAATGTCTTTAGCTCATATACTGCAGCATTAAGTGACTTTTATCACAGCACTGAGTAGTGTGCTTATTGAGGGTGTGTATCCGTAACCATGCCCTTGTTTGTCTGTGTTTATGTCTGTTTAAGTGCACTAAATCCATGTAAGTGTGGCAGCGTGGTGTGCTTGTGGGTTTGGGTGAGTGACAGAGTGTGAGATGAGGCAGCGAGGAGAAATATTTTTCTCAGTGTGTGTTCTCCTTCCACCATAAAATGCCATCTCCTCTGCTCTCCTCCCCCAGCTGAGGACTGCCAGCTGCTCACTCAGATCCCCAAAGTGCGCTGCCTGAGGAACGGCAGGAGAGAGGGTGAGTGTGCGGGGACAAGGGGAACGATGGGAAGGGGGGAAAATGACTTAATGGAAAAGATATTGGACTGAAAAGGGGATGTATTTTGTGTGGCTTTTTTTAAAGGAATAACTCATAGAAAGACAAGTGAAGGCGAAGATGGTAAAAATGCTTCACATGACAGCAGATAGTCACTGAAAATGTGTGTCCAAAAATACTGGAGTGGAAAAAACAAATCAAGTGGAAAACAGAAACAGACCAAAAAGATATGAACAGCTGTTGTTTCAGTCATTTTATGTAAAAGGAAAAAAAATTATGTAATGAGAGCTAATTAATAATTTAGTCAATAACATCTGACAACACAGTGAAAAACAGAAAATGCTTAAAAAAGCGATTGTCACAGGAAAAAGTGGGCTTGTAATTGCTGATGGATGAGGCCAAATTGTAAGAATACACAAGAAACTGACAGCATCCAAAAGGATAAACACAAAGAGCCAGGGAATAAATGCAAGGACACAGAAGAAGCAGAGTTATTATAGATTTATTTATTTTTAATTTTGTTTAGTTTCAGTTTGTTTACTGAGTGAGTTTCTGGTTTTTATTGTTTTTTATTAACAGTTTCAGTGTTACTTTTAGTCTTTCTAATTATTATAGTATGTCTCAATAAACGTGTCAATGATTTATTTTTTACCAAAAAACCCCTAAAACTAAAGATATTTCTTCTGTATTTTTATTTTACTTTAGTGTGTTGTGTGAAAGTGTGTGAAACTAGGAGTGAAAAATAAATTTTAGTTGACTAAACTAAAATCTGTTTTTCACTCCTGGTTTTTGTTTTTACCGTGGGTTTAGTTAAGTATAATGACCTTGACAAGAAGAAACAGGAACATCCACAGACAGCATGAAAAATGATGACAGGATCTACACTCGCCTCCTCCTGATTTCTTAGTTTTTTTGCTTATTAGTCTTACTTATGTTTTTCAGAGCATCAAGCAAATTATAATAGTAGGCAAAGATAACTTGAGTAAATACAAAAAATAGATTTTAAATAATGATTTATTTATTAAGAGGAAGAAAAAGCTGTGCAAACCTGGCCCTATGTTAAATCATGAATTAACAGTGATTAACCACATTTTTTGGAAAGATGAGTCCAATTTCAGTACCCGCAGCCAGGCCTGAGTACTGCCAGATTAAATCCCAAAATCATTTAAATAAAACCCTGTCTGACAAAGTGTAGGAGCTAAAAGACCTCAAAAAGCAACTCATGGTGCCACGATCTAAAGAAACAGCTGAGAAACAAAGTCATTGACTTCTATCAGTCTGGAAAGGGTTACAAATCCATTTCCATGGCAATGGATAAAACATGGAAGAGTGGTGAACTTCTCAGCAAAACGCATCGCTGACTCATCCAGAAGTTTGAAGTAAAATATCCGGTTATGAGATTGTGCTTGGAAGCTCGAGCTATAATCCAAGGAAACCATCCAAGTCCACTTCTAAATGTTAAAAAACAAAATGAAGGCTTTGAAGTGGCCTAGTCAAAGTCCAGTCCAGACTTAAGTCCAATTGACATCATTTGGCATGACCTAAAAAGACCATTCATTCTCAAAACCCTCCAATCTGACTAAATTAAAGCAATTATGTAAAGAAGAGTGGGCCAAAAGTCCTCCACAGTGATGTGAAAGTGTCATTTCCAGTTATCACACATGCTTGAGGATGAGTAGAACCAGTTATTTGGTCTAGGGTACAATTACTTTCTCATAAAGGGCATTTTGTTTCCATTAATAAATTAAATAATCTTTATATTTTGTATTTACGCAGGTTATCTTAGTCTAGTGTTAACATTTGTTTAATGATCTAAAGAATGTAAGTGTGACCAAAGAATAAACATTTAAAAATACTTTATTATCCACTGTATACCTACTGACAGCTGATACGCTGTATGGAGCTGCTTGGACATGTAGAAGCCACACCCTGAAGCTCCCAGTGCACTGTTTCTCTGCCAGAGGTGGTTTGTAACTCTGCAGTTACCTTGTCAGCAGCACGGGGCGCCTTTAGTGCACTATATGTTTCATAGCTCACTGACCCCGCTCTGTAGCTTTATGTGGTCTGCCACTTCCTGATTGAGTTTCCTGTGGTTCTTGAACACTTCTGCTTTTCAGTAATATCACTTACAGTTGATGAAGGAATATCTGCGAGGGAAGAAATTCAACAAGTTGACTCGTCACAAAAGTAGCTTCCTACGACACTAGAATTTGGCGTGCTATTTAGAATGATCCATTCTTTCACAGATGTTTGTAGAGGCAAAATGCACGGCTAGAGGTGGTCAGTATAGTGTAGGTAACTGCAGACAGGTTAAAAACTAACACGAAAACAGTAAAACATCTTGAAAGTTGTTCAGAAATTCAGAAAAACTAAACAGAGACCAAAACTGAAGAAAACTGAGGCAAAATATTGTTAAAATAATATGACGTTAAAAAAAGAAAACTGACAAACATAAGACTCAAACTTAAGACACTAAATATTAGAAAGACCTAAAAAGAAATCATAACTACAATATATTGACTAAAAAGCTCAAAACTCAAAAATCAACATAAAATCTGATCCTACATAAACATAAAACAATCAACATATGCGAGTCTAAGGCAATAGACAGTTATGAGTAAGTTTTTGTAGAAGCATAGACTTATATATCATTAATTTATTAATTGTGTCACATGTAAGTGTAAATCCATGTTTCTGGATTTATCTGCATGCCTTACGTTGATCTCTTTTTTCTGCCTCTCACACCTTTCATTTGACTAAATTCTGTGCAGTACTTATTAGAACCACTCACTTATTGTTCGATCGCTCCTTCACAGGCACCTGAATGATTTTTATTCTCTAACTCTAGGATGTCAAACACAATGATTAGTCTGTCAAAGGGATCAGTCTAGCCCACTGCGTGGAAGTTGTGGAAATGCAGGGTACAGTTTTTTTTACTGTGTTTCTAACCAGGAAACATTTGTATAGCACGCTGTTAGAAATAGATGTGGGCTCATTTATCCAGGCCTCAGGTCTGAATCATTGTCAGGTTTTCTAGCTCTTACTAACAGCCTTTCCAGTGACCCACCACGTAAGCTGGTATAACCAACGACTGTACCAACTCGTTTCATTTAGCATTGGTTTTTGATGACAGTAGACTGAATGTGGGAAATGCAAGTGGTTTTTCTCTAAGAAATCCCATTTTTGGCAAATTCTTCACACTTAATTGAAGATACTGTTTTATGTGCCATACTGATGGTGTGCTGGTCTATTTGAGATTAATTTGAACCAAAATGAGATTCGTGCTCCAAATCAGGGAAGTTCGGCTGAACTTAAAGCTAAAATAAGTAGTGTTACTGTTTGATAATCCATTTTTCTCAGGTTCTTGCACTCACAGGAGAACACATTTTTTGGGCCACATGCTGTTAATGTCCGGCAGCAACAGTCCACAAGCCCAAGTTTAGCTTTCTTTACTGCCACCCTTAAAACCCACGTCCACAAATTATAATAAGCTTAATCTTAATCTATCTTTTTCATAGGCTTTCTCGTGTAGAAATACGCAAGAAGTTTTTTTAAACAGGATGACCAGCAAAATACAGCTCTCTGAGAGTTTACTGAAACGGTAAAAGCAAATAGTCCCTGTCCTTGTGACTGGATTGATTTTCAGCTCTTAATGGCTTCACACCTTCAGGCATCATTGACTTTCTCTGCTTAATGCGTCAAACTGCTGCCAAAGGTCATCAGGCACTGAAGCATTAAATGTACCCACAATTACACCAAACAAGCACGAGCAGGAAGTCTTTGCTATCATGGGTGAGAACTGTGGAATAGCCAGTGTGTATCTAATATGTAGCATGTTCTGTAAATTAAGGAATTTTTCACATTGCTAGATAGATTACATACATTACATTTAGCAGCTTAATATGCAGTTTTTTCATCGTGTGTTGGTGTAAACTAAAAGCACACAGATGAGTAATCTATTGGCCTGACATTTGGTAGGTGGCCCGAAACACAGCACCAGATAAATTACTGTTTCTCCCTAAGAGGTGAAGTGCCTTAACTGACCAGGCGCGCAATCCTACTCTCAAATGTCACTTAGGTTATACTGGGAAGGATGAAATGTGAACTGGTGTGATTCAAGCTCATTCATTGGTAAAACAAAGGTTGTGTTTGTGTAAATGATGTGCCTTAAACTGAGCACTGCTTATTCTCATGAAGCTTCTGTCAAACGTCATGCATCAGAATGAGGAAGAAACTTGATTTTTTTGAGTATTTCAGAAACTTTTGATCTATTTGAACTTTCCCACATGCAGAGAATGATCAGGAAAAGAGAAAACAACCAGTGAGCAGTAGTTCTCTGGGTGACAAAAAAGCTTCAGCCTTTGGGAAGTAACAACCAAGCTATGCAGAAGAGCACACTGGTGCAGGAAATTGAGGCTATAATGTGCACAAGATTGCCAAAATTGGACAACAGAAGACTGGAAAAAATGTCGCTTGGTCTGAAGAGTCTCAATTCAGTGCAACAGTCGGATGATAGGGTCATAATTGACTCATCAACGTAAAAGCATGGGTCTATCCTGCCTTGTATCAGTGGTTCAAGCTGGCAGTGAAGGTGTGATGGAGTGAGGGATATTTTCTTGGCACACTCTCAGCTCATTATTGTTTAAATGCCACAGCCTACCTGAGTATTATGGCTGACCACATCCACCTTAACCTTTATGATCACAGTGTATCTTCTGATACCTGCTACCAACAAGAAAGTGCACCATGTGACAAAGCTCAGATCCTTTCTTGGTTTCTTGATAATGAAAATGAGTTTAAAAATGACCTCCACAGTCACCAGATCTCAATAGATTATATATAGGATGTGATGGAAATGGAGATTCCCATCGTGTATGTGCAAACGGCAACGGTGTAATGCTATCATATCAACAAGGATCAAAATATCTCTGAGAAATGTTTCCAGCAGAATTAATTAAGAACTAAGGCAGTTGATCCTTGTATTAGCAATAAGGACGGTGAATGTTTTTCTTCTTTTCTTCTTCTCTGTTACAAAAGAAAGGTGATAATTCTGAAAATCATCCTTTGAATTATTCAGAGAAACAACCTCCTCTTGAAACACTCAGGTTATTCATGATCAGCTCAGAATTAAGTTCTGGAACTCTTGTTCTATTAAAAACAAAAAGCATTTAATAAATTTGTGTTATTTTAACGATCTTTGACAAAACTCTTAAGATAACGAGCTCGATCTGTTTATGGATGCTGCATAAATATCAAAGACAATTAACCTTTTCCACATATCCAGATATTACCGTAACTGGAGGCGTACTTGGTGAAAAAGAAAACTGTTTTCAGTGCCCCCGTGCTTCCAGCGAGTCTGCCTTAAATGTGAACTCTTTTAAAGTAGGTTTTTCCCTCGGCGTCGCTGACGGGAGTGAGACAAGTTCTGGGATCTACTTTAGATAAATCCAAATAACTAATGTCAATTCTAGAGGCAGTTTATTCTCTACTTGCTTGTCCAGCTTAAGTCAAACGTACAGTATGTATTCCAGAAACATGGATGAAGGTGATTATCATCATCATATTTTATCATATAGCACCAATTTAATAAAGAAGAAGAAGCCAATGCTTTTTCTGTCAACTGTCAATTACAATGCAACAATCTAGAAAAACTGCAGGCAGGCCAGGTCAGCGCCCAGACAGTTCTGCTATGAAGCCATGCTGTTGTAATAAATAAAGTGGTTTGGCACTGCAGAACAGTTTTCCACTCAGTCCATTTTAAATTCGCTTTGGCCCAAAGAAGACAGCAGCATTTCTGGATCATGTTCAATTATGGCTTCTTCTTTGTATCATAGAGCTATACCTGCATTTGTGGATGAAACAACAAACTGTGTTCACAGATGCTGATTTCTGGAAGTGTTCCTGAGCCTAAGCAGTGATTTCTATGACAAAACCACAACTTTTGTTTTAACACAGTGCTGCCCGAGGGCCTGGAGATCATGGCCATCAAATATTGACTTTTTAGCTAGTTCTTGCACACAGAGATTTCTCCAATTTTGTGTGAGATATTATATAAAATAAAGGAAGAAGGGGAAAAAATCACGAGACCTAAGTAGGGTGACTTTGTGTCTGTGTTGTTCAATTTATGCAGATCCAGATATGAGGGCAACCTCATCCTTGAAATGACTCACCATCTTAGTGATGGTGATTCATTTTGTCCATTTAAGAGGGCAGTTCACTTTATATCTCAAGGAATACATCAGGTTTTCCATCACATTTATATCCCTTCTGTCTATTCACGAATAAGAGGTTCCAACCAGAAGAATGTTACACAAAACCACTATTTTTCATCCATGTTCATTCTAGGGTCTCTTTATTTGGTAAAATGTCGTCTCTCCTTAAGAAAAGTCTTTAAACATACTGTATTTCCTCAAAATGGTCTTTTAAGTCTTTTCAAATAACAGGGTGCAGTGTTGCTTATTTGTAATGTGCAATGGATGAGAAAGATTAAAATACTTTCAGCCATTTTTTAAATCAGTTTGATACAGTTATTTTAGATGTAAATGTCATGACCGTGTGAGTAAGGAACATCCAGAACATGATGACATGAGGAGGAAACAAAGGAGTTTGTAATTATAACCATCTCGGTTTCAGAGATACAGACTTTTGCAGATATCAATTCTCCTAAAGCTCATTCAGAACGGCTACTAGAGTGATTAATAGCTGTCCACAGACTGAAGAATAGTTATTGTCGACAAAAAAAATGACTATGACATCTTAGATCAATATAAAGCATTTTTAAAAGTGACCCAAGATGTCACCAGAAAATGTGATTTCCAGAGATTTCTTTTAAGGATCAGAGTCTTGAAAACAACACTTGCATTAAACAGCATCAGTTTAATAAAACTGTGTCCATCTGAGCAGTTTGAGACTTCAGTGTCATGTGTTTCCTTCAGGTCTGATCCGATCACGCGTGCGAGGAGCCAACACGGCCTCTGCTTCGATCTTGACCTTTCTGGACAGCCACTGTGAGGTCAACACTGACTGGCTGCAGCCTATGATACAGAGAGTCAAGGAGGTACAATCGCACATGCTCACACACACACTTAGTCAGACACTTAAATGCATGCTGCACATATCCACACGCACAACCTCATGCATATGCTTGGAGGCGGAACATTTATTTTCTTCTCCGTGGTAGATTTTATTGACTGTGATGCAATATGTTGGCACTGCGTGTTGTTAAATAAACACTCAATTTGTTCAGCTAAGATTCAAGTCAGACTATAGCAGATGTCACACGCTGCTCTGCCGCAGCTGGAAAAAGTTTGGTGGGTTTTTCCTCCACAGGCTGTTTTCCACTCTGTCCTTTGCATGAAATCACTTCATATAGTTCACTGAAATTGTGCTATATATAGTTGTCTCTGCCTGATTTGGGTTCATTTTTTCTTATTTGCTTAACACATTGGTCAGTGACACTTGGGAGCTGACTTTAATGAGACAAGATGATGATGATTACTGAGTGACCAAAATCCTAATTAGCGTCTCACAACTGAGTCTCCGCTATAGAGGAAACTCTGAATGGGATAATGAGGGAGTGGTTTGGTTGAGTTGGCTGCTTTGTGTAGCAGCTGTGGTGCCGTGGACTGTTATTGCATTTATTCTTACAGCATTGTCTTTAAATCAATAACACTCTTTGTTAATGACAGATTTTCCTGATTCACTGCCTCTTAAAAAAATAATTAGGCCGTCCATCAGGAGCACTATAGTACTGTCACATCCGGCCGCAAGTGTTTTACACTTCAAAATATGATGCGATGCCAGCCAGTCTTCATTATGTGGTGGATTTATTTATTTATTTAAAATACTGGTGGTATTTCCATGTGAGCTTTCTTGGACATTTCAGCAGTAAGCACTCACTGTTTCTGTTCCAGTCTGCTTTCTTTTTCTCACAAAGTCACACAAGTGAGGTACACAGAGAATGGAAATACAGAGCGGCACAAAATCGTGTGCAGAGATGAATGTTTAATTCCTATAAAGTGAGTGTATTGATATAGTTGCGGAAAGAAATTCATCACCTGCTGTGACTGTCTCCTCCCTGCCCTGACATTATTAGCATCCTGTGACTGTGACTGGTTATGGTTGAGAACAACTGCTGATGCCCCCCCGCACCAATCTCAGGCTGTCCCAATGACTCTAGTCAGCAGGAGCTGTTTCATTTCACATTTCTCTTAGTAATCACCTTTCTCATGTTCATGACTCGCACTAATGTGTGACACTGTGATGTAGCTCCTGCAGTTTCTTCCCCGTCAGCAATACACTGTTTCTTAATTTTCTTCCTGCTTGGCATTTTAGCAGCATGCTTGCTTCTCCAGGCTACAGTACAAGAAAAGAGTTGAGAAAAGAAGAAATATCAATACTTTTCTCAACTTGTGGCTTGTTGTTTTACTATACAAGATATCTGGCATCTCGAATTTTCTTTTTGGGGTATTTTTGCCTTTATGTGACAACACAGAGAAGACAGGAAAGACAGGAAAGAGCACAGGGCGACACTCAGCAAAGGGTTCCAAACCTGAACCCAGGCTCCTGTATTTCAGCTGTATAGCATATGGGCTCCTGCCCAACCAGCAAGCTCAACTGGTACCCAGTGAATTTTCTTATTCACCTAATTACAGTATACCTGTGAGGTTGACAATAACATTTGTTTCAGTGGTGTGCTTTCCTACTTCCAAAGGACATAACAAAGATCCTTGTGTTATATTTATTACTTCTCTCCTGTGTCCTCTGTATATGTTATGTCATTTGAGTTTTGCATTTTGGATTCTCTTTGGATTAGGTTCTTTTTACTAGCTACTAGGGATGGGAATTGATAAGAATTTAATCATTCCGATTCCACTATTGAAATTCCCATCAATTCAATTCCTTATCAGTTTTCTCATCAATGCTCAATGGGGTCTCACTGTCTCTGCTTTGAGAGTCACCACCATCTCTAAGCAGCATATCAAAGACATTACATTCATGCAAATTAATTGCATGTTGTTGGTCAAATGTTTGCATGTTGGAGGCATAGGCTACACTGGCACACATCAACACAAATCCCTATCCTAATGAGAACACGCGTATGATCTTTCTTTTATGCTGAAGACTGTCTTTCACCGCTCCCCAAGTTAATCTTAGTTCTCTGTTCATTTTTCATCTTATTTCCTGTTTTACTCTGGTAGCTCTTTGGTCTTCTGTATCTTGTCTAGTTTACTTCCCCTGTTCATTGTCTTGATTAAATGTGTATAGTCCCCACCTATTTGCACTTCCCTCATTATCAGCTGTGTATATGTTGTCTCAGTCTACTTTTGTCATGTCATCCATGTAGCTGTGTGTTTCTTAACCGTGTATTCCCTTTTTTTCCTGACTTTGTTTTCCTGGTCATTTCTGATATTTGGATCCCCTGGCTTTGCTCCTTGTGGATTTTGGATTTTGAACTCTGGACACTAAGCCGCTGCATTAAATGCCCACTTTGTGTTTGAGTTCCATCTACTTCATCCGGGTGCATCTAAAACCTCCATTCCACACAGCTGGATATAAAAAACAAAACAAAACAAAAAAACCAGCAAACTTCACACATCTGGATCCTATGCAAAATCAAAAAGCAAAATTTCAGCCTTTAGGAGAGTTCTTCCACTATATACTGTAATGCGTGAGTTTCAACAACCTACCATTGTTCGTTATGACCACAATCGAGGAGTTCCTCAAGTTTGAAAAACTCTGGGCTACTGTTTATTAATCAGATTAAATTAGGGCACAGAGAGACACAGGGAGGACAATTCTGATGTCCACCATATGTGCTCATTTCCCCGATAAAGGACTGACTAATTTCTTGCCAAGAGTTCAGTGGAAAAGCTAAAACATGAAGACTAAAAACATCTAGCTAGGGATAAAATCCATGTAGATTACATGTTTGACCCTTTTTCTCCTCAAAGATGTGCTTAAGATGTTCTCTTTGGGATTTGAATAGTTTTTCCAGCTTTTTTTCTTTAACCTTCATGCTAAGCTGAGGTTAGAATCTCCTGACTCTACTCTGATATTAAACGCATAGACATGAGTACTCTAACAGTCTTCAAATTTAATTCTTGGCAAGAAAAGTAGTATATCTCACAAAAAGACTGATATCCATAGATGCATCCCTGTCCCCTTGGCCTTCCTTGAAAAGAAGACTAAGTGTTTATCTGCAAGAAATAAAATAGGGCTTTATTTTGCTGAAGGACAAAAGTCTTCTGTTAGTTTAGAAAGTACAGCAGAAAAAGAGCACCCATTCAGAACCTGCATGCAGGACAAATGAAGCTACAAGCTATATAGTCAAGCCACATATCATGTTTCTTCAGTGCAAACCTCACAGTTTATAATCACAAGACTCGACACATTGTGGGTGTGCGCAAAACTTGTTTGTGTTTCTTTGGCTTTGGACAGCTGTGACTCATCCAGCTTGCATTACAATCTTTTAGCTCATGAGAGTGCCGGCCTCAGTGATAATTTACCAGCCCCAGAGTTCAACTGCACTCCGCCTTGCATTTGTTCGTGTCCCAGAGACCAAACCCTGGTTTTATTAAAGCCTCTGGGGGCAGAAATAATGATGAATAATAATCTTCTCTGTTTTAACTTAATTATGCTTTTCCTTTGTTAATTAAAACCAGCAGGCGTAACAGCGTAATTCAAATGTTGCTAATGTGCAGCAATGAGCTTCTCACTGACAAATGTAAAGGGAACATGATTCAAATAATTGTCTGGCTAATCTTATGTGGTCACTTTACCTTGCTTGTTTTCATCTTCACTGGCACAGTTTCTTTAACTAAATTATTAAATCATAAAGAATAATTGTAATGCTCTGAAGGAAAAGTCTAATATATATGGGGGGTTAAAACATGTTTTACCGCAGCATGAATTGTCTGAGTTTCATTACTCAAAGGCTACGTTCACACTGCAGGCGAAAGCGCATCAAATCCAACTTTTCTGACCCTATGCGACCCATATCCGATCATGGTATGTCAGTGTAAACGGCACAAATCTGATATTTTCAAATCCGATCTGGATCATTTTCGTATGTGGTACTGAGTCCGATACATATCTGATGTGAACAAGCCGACAAAAAAATCGGATTTGATCAAAAAATCAGATTTGATCAAAAAATTGGAACTGAGCATTAAGACCTGCAGTGTGAACGTAGCCATAGACTGATAGCATTCCTGGGTGATAAAGTGAAGAAACAGAGATCCTGACATATCAAATGGCAAGAGCGTATTGTGAATTCGTCGCCTGTCCGTTCCTCAATATGATTGACAGAGATCAGAATCATAGACTATGAAAGAAATGTTTGGACTGACAACACATTTTTGTATTATTGTGTCTCATTTTGGTTCTGTAAAATACAAAATGGTATTAGGAGACAGGACAGGGCTAGCTGGTTATCACACTAATTATGGTGGATAGCTGTGTAGCACCAGCTGGCATGATGTTAATATGTTGATAGCACATTTTAACAGAATAACACACACACCTGTTTCAGTTAACAAATACTATTTTGCCGGCAGAGTACTGTGTCGTAAATTCAAACACAGAAAAAAGGTGACATTGATTTTGGAAGTGCAGCCACTTTATGCATTACCAAATCACAGAGACTCATTGAAAGCCCAATAAATGTCCATTGCTTAAAACTGTTGAGAGCATCACATTTTAAATTGCTCTCTGGCAGAGTGGCTTTTCACACTCGTTCTTCCCCCGCACTCTTCAGCGCAACAAGCACAGAGTTCACAGCGGGTTCAATCTCTGATAAAGAGATGGACGGTTCTAATTGGAAACACTCATTTGGATTGTCCCGAGCTATAAGCTGTTTGTCTACATGGACACTGGCACCCATTCACAGACAGATGCAGGCAGCACATACACGCTCGAGTACGCACAAACCAATCAGCAGTTCTGTCTTTTAGAGTTTGTGTTGGATCTGCAGCTGACGGTCAGATTTGAGGGCTTAATGGGAAGGTTAGGGATACTCAGCTTATGTTCTTCAAAAGTAATCAGTACGTGCTTGTTATTATTCACATCAAAAGAATAATCAGAGCTTACATGCAAGTTTAGAGTACCGTACACAGTTCTTACAGAAAAATTATTCGATTAAAACAAATAGCTTCTTTCTACTAATAAGGATACAATTTTATGAAATGTTCTTGCTCTATTTAATTTGTTTCTTAGCATTATTCTTATTTTTATGTGATCAGAGGCTGGAAATTATAAAGAAAAACCTGAAGTTAGAAAAGCAAAGGTTTAAATATGTTTTATTCTTCAACTGAAAGTCAGTGTTTTTTCAAGTATTTTTTAAAACTTAAATCCATCCCTATTTGTTGAAATAAATTAAACAAATAGTATTTAAAAATTTAATAATAGAATTAATTTAAAATAACATGTCATTGTGTTCTCCTCCCATGCAGGATCATACAAGAGTGGTCAGCCCCATCATCGACGTCATCAGCCTGGATAACTTTGCCTACTTGGCTGCCTCTGCTGACCTGAGAGGAGGTCAGGGCGTAATAAACAGATCATACACAGTGGTAGTTGATCACACAGAGATCTGCAGGTTTAACAAACCTTTGTGACATGACATCATGATTCCTGACAGAATTCAATGCCTATGACTGAACAATGACTGAGGTTTAAATATTTCATTGTTTTATTGAAAAGCAGTGATTTATAGAAGAGAGTTTTTCCACAGATGTAAGGCTACGATTGATATTAAATTCAGGCCAGTATATTAGGTGAAATCATGCAACTGAGTCCAGCCAGAATATCTGTCATCTTGTCTGCTTTGGACTCATGTCTAGACAACAGGAATATAAATTTGAAGATGAGAGCTGAACTTTTGCTTCCCCATGCTTTTCTTTTTGTCAGGATTTGACTGGAGTCTCCACTTCAAGTGGGAGCAGATTCCCATTGAGCAAAAGATGGCAAGAAGTGACCCCACTCAGGCAATAAGGTATGTCTACAATGATATTTAGTGTGATAATATGCTTTGACTCATACCTGGAACATTCTCTTATGCATTATACGTGCATTGTACCCTCACAGACCACTTCATTAGATATCATAGACATATGTGTTCAACTACTCATTAATGCCACCAATCCACCAATATGAAAGCAACTCCATGCGTTTAGAGACTTAGATGGTCAAGATGACCCCTGAAGTTCAAACCAAGCATCAGAATGGGGAGGAAAAGTGATTTCAGTGACTTTAAGCATGATAGATGAACCCAAAGTCACAAAGCTCAAATCATCTCAGACTGGTTTCTTGAAGATGACACTGTACTCAAATAGCCGCCTGTGGTGGAAAAGGAGAGTCACATGATGGCAAATGTGCCGCAACTGTGCAATGCTGTCATTTCAACATCGACCAGAATCTCTGAGGAATGTTTCCAGCACCTTATTGTATCTGTGCCATAAGAAAATTAAGGCAGCTCTGAGGGATAAATAGAATCCAACCCCAGTACCAGCAAGATGTGACTAATAAAATGGCCAGAGACTGTATATTGTATGTGAATGACACATCATGGATTAATATGTCAGTTTTGGTTCTTGGATTAGACTAAAGTTAAAATAGAGAGCCATAGCTTACTCTCAAAAAGTTCAAGATAAATCGTCATAGTCAGGTCCTTTCTATGTTGGTATTTGCAGTCCTTTTGTGGTGTGTTTTCCCCCTAAAACACGTCCAAATCGCAGCAAAGTAGTTAATGCATAACATCTGCTGAGCAAAATACAACTTTAAGCTCCTTTGATTTGTTGTTTCTTTCTGGAAAATATTCCCTTCTGGTGATTCTGATGAGGTCTGCATGAATAAGCGTGCAAGTGAAGATTTGTAACTCCTTCCCTTCCTCCACTCTGCAGGACTCCCGTCATCGCTGGTGGGATCTTCGTCATGGACAGGAGTTGGTTCAACCACCTCGGCCAGTATGACACCCACATGGACATCTGGGGAGGGGAGAACTTTGGTGAGATCATCGATGATTTCTAACCCTACTTGAATCAGATGACTTTTATTATCATATCATCCTCCACACGCATCCCACACCAAATGTCTTTAAATAAAACTAAGCCTTACTCTGCTGGCAAAGACTTACCAGACTCCAACAATGTAAATATTCCCAACTTTATTCAAGATGAAGGATTCCTAACAAGTTTATGTTAATTGATGACATTTACAATTACCTAATGTTGGCCAGGAGCAGGAAAGTAGGAGGATCAGAGTTAGCACATGTACTTACCAAAATAAAAGCCATAATGTTTATGAATAATTTTCTCATTCAGTCTAAAATAAATACTAAGTCCTATGTTTACAAGGTTTTCTAACAAAAATAATTTAATCACATATTAAAGAAGATAATGTTTGTGTCAATTTAGTGCAATTTATTTTGTAAAATACGAAGCCGTTTCCCATAAAACGATTTCATGTGTTAAGTCTGCATGCCTGGCTCTTTTGAATCATCTCCAAAATGCTAAATATGTCCCTGGAATTTGAATGATCCACTATGACTGCTTTCATTCTGATGATTTACAGCTAACAGCCATCTGCTACAGGAAACAGTAGCAGGCGTACTGCACTGATATTGGAATGACACACATCAGGGCATTAATTCTAGGAGAGACTGACAAAATGACAGGCACGTCTTCAGTGGTACGCCTGCATTTTTGGACTCAACCACTGCATCTTTCCTTTTGCAGAGCTTTCTTTCCGGGTGTGGCTGTGCGGAGGAAGTCTGGAGATTCTTCCCTGCAGCCGCGTGGGTCACGTGTTCAGGAAACGGCACCCGTACGATTTCCCAGAGGGCAACGCTCTTACCTACATTAAGTGAGTAGGCTGGTCTAACTGATGACAGTTATTAACACGGAAACAACAGAATGACCTTTCGCTTGTTGTTCGCCCTAAAATCTCAAATGTCACATGATTCAGCTCCACTCAGTGTGAAGTTAAATGCTTCGCCAGGCAAACTCACACTTTTCACACATCTTGACCCAAGCGTGAGTGAGAGATGAGTGTGTAAGAGAACTATGAAAGCATCCGCAGAGCTCCTTATTTTACATCATTGTTCTTAATAATAATATTTGTAGAGGAGCTGCAGTAAATAGCTGACGTATGAAGACTCCAGAAGCATAGCGCTGTCATTAAAGCTGGCTGCAGGAATGCTGGCAGCGCTGTCATTACTGTGTCTGAGCAGGTGTTGTGTCTCTGTCCACGCAGGAACACCCGTCGGGCTGCTGAAGTGTGGATGGATGAGTATAAACAGTACTACTACTCTGCGAGGCCGTCGGCTCAGGGAAAAGCCTTCGGCAGGTTTGTCTGCTATAATGTCATCCTCCTTGCTCATATTTGCTTATATTTAATACAATGATTCTGTGTCTCCTGAGTTTCCAAGGTGTTTATAAGGTACCAAGTTTTATACGCAAGTTTTAAAAAAACGCTTTGCACACCAATTTTTAAATTTGCATGCACTGAGACTTCAACTAACATTTATTTATTTTAATTACAGATTATTCAGGGGATTTGTATGTTCTGTTAAAATAATTTTAAAATGCCTGTGATGATGTTACTCAATCCAAGGTGGCCCAGTTAAGACAACAAACCCTTACATTTGATAGATGAAACCAGAACAATGAAGTTTCAACACTGTTGTCAGTGTCAGATCTGTTGGACCTACAAGTTCTGTTCCTTTTGTATAAAAGGCCCAACACCAGTAAAAATGCAAAAATATAAGAAGTAAGAAGCAAAAAAACAAAACTCAGTAAATAAAACACCCACACACACTGGTTTAACATTTTAAAGAAAACCTGTGTTAGCTGAGTCTGTAATTCATACTCCATAAGCTGTTGATGGCAGGTTCACAAGGTTAAATCCACATTTTCTTTCTCATTCTCTCCTCCTTATCTTTTTTATGTTTTCTTTACATTATTTCTCTTTGTCCCTAAATATTCTTGTTATCTGGTCTTGCAGTATCACAGACCGTCTGGCGCTGCGACGGAAGCTGAACTGCAAACCTTTCCGCTGGTACATGGAGAACGTCTATCCCGAGCTGAGGTAACGAGGTTAACGTTTAATTCTCCCTCAATGGCACAGCATTGGAACACAAAAAACTAAAGTGCAATTTGCAACATTTTTTTATCACATACAGAAAAATATTTCAGTAAGGAGGAATCATTTGGAAAAACTGAACACAATTTACTGAGACACAGAATTCAGTTTAGCTGTTTGGTAATTAGATGCCGATGATCCATCAAGGCAGAATGGAATCCTATCAGTGACAGGAATTAGGACAGGAGCCCCGGAGTCTAGTATACTCTAGTGGTGGTGAGCATGAAGATGGAGGCTTCGACGGGGCTCTGAGTGACCCGGGTGAGGCAGAGATGGGAAGAAGACAGGTTGCACAAACGAGAGCCTGAAAGACAGAATGACAAAAGAGATTTAAAGTATATAGAATGGAAGTTGATTGGCTCACAGGAAGCAGGTAAGAAAATGATTGGACAAGAGCAGGAGTGTCAAACACAAGACTTCAATCCCACCCAGTGGAAGTCATAAACTTTGTACTTTTACAACTTTTCCTAATAATAAAAACCTCCCCTGTGGTTATTTATACTACACCAAAGTAATGAAGTAATAAATAAACTATTTGATGACAGAAGAATCCTTGTTTTTTTTACTACCTACAATAGAAATTTATTTTTTTCACAATGATTAGTTAAGGTATAGTTAGGTTGACAGAAAGGGGAGTTTCTTTGGTCCAGTCTATTTAACATCAAAGAAGGTTGTACTTGGCCCATGATGTAAAATGAATAATCATGTTAGTATTGAGTTTGACAGTGTGGAGAAATTGAAGTGATGTAAAGAATAGACTAGGAGCCAAACACTTAGGAAGCAGACAGCTGAGTGATTGCAGATGTCCCTTATTGAACATATGCATAAGCTTCATTAATTACTGTACTTACACTTAAAGGAGTCGATATTAAAAGATTAACTGGCACGATACTTTCTGCATTTTCTGCACTTATAAAGTTCAGATTCGATTGGCAATGACTGGAAAATATCTAGTGTGAAAACTAGTATTCTTTTTCCTCATGTGTGAGGTCAAAGACTATCATAGAAAAAACTTTTTCCATCAGCAGATGGATATGAAAACTGAGTCATAGTGCCAGACTCTCCACGGGGAACATCCATTTTTCAGTGGAGATATACATTATTTATGCAGTGCATTATAGAAGTTGTTGTGGATCACTTTTTAGTATCTGGTTTGAATTATCTGTTATGCAAGAGAGACAAAGACTTTTCCAAACACCATTAGAATCCAACAAATGGAAATGTTTTCATCATGTTTTCACCTATGTTTATTTCTGATTGATCTCTGGAAGAGGCTCTGGTGAAGCAGAAATAACATTCAAGCTCTGTTTCCTTTAAGATAAAACGTGTTTTTTTCCCCCCTGAAGTAATCTCAAAACCCCTCGAGGTGCCATTACCCCGAAGTTCAGAGCCAGTCATCTAAATATAAACGATCTGGGTGGGAACCTCTGAGTGGGTTATCAGCTTGTATCTCACGAGCTTTTTTTCTCAAGCTACTCCCTCGCCACTTCAGCTGTATCTGCTCCAAATAAGTCTGGTCTCTCAGAGTGTAACTGTATATCGTTTTCAGAACATGTTGAAATGATGCACATTACTTAGCGTTGCAATTCAGTTACTCAGTTTAATCCATCTGTTCTTTATTGTTGAAATAAGACCTTTCACTGGCTTTGCGCCTGTCTCTTCTCTCTTGGCTCCCTACAGGGTCCCTGAGCAGGAAGCAGTGTCCAGTGTGTTGAAACAGGGCGGTTTGTGTCTGGAGACCCGTGGGACCGACGGCCTCGGGCTGGCAGAGTGTAGGGGCCTCGGAGCCAACAGGCCACAGTCGCAGGTCAGGACTTTGCCACTAGAGGGCGATTTATTGTGGCTCACAGTTATTGTTAGAAATACATCAGACTCTGTCCTGCACACTCTCATTTTTGGTTCTAATTGAGTTCTATTAAAGCTGTCTCAGCAAAATGCAACTCTTTTTAAATTCTATGCTGCTGTTCACCAGCCCAATTTGTAAACAGTGAATTGTAGATATTTGTGTGTGTGTGTGTGTGTGTGTGTGTGTGTGTGTGTGTGTGTGTGTGTGTGTGTGTGTGTGTGTGTGTGTGTAATGCTTGCTAAATTATCCATATGTGGCCTGACTTGCTCTTAAAAAACACTGGTACATATTGTTTGAAGTATGCAAGAGATCCTTCCTTTAAATATTCAATAAACTAAAAGGTGTGCTTGAGTTTTTTGAGTGTGCAGAATTTGCACTTATGGTCCCATTAAATTAAATCTGTCCCAGAACTGCATCTTTATAAACAAGTTGGGCATAAAATTGGATTTCTTATTCGTATTAGTGGAAATCCATAACCCACTGAAGCAAAGTGCCTGATGCACAGGTGTCATTTTTACCAGTTTAGTAAAAGTGCATTATTAAAGACTACATTTAAATTTAACTCCATATTTTTAACATGGTCACCACAACATTCCTGTAGTGGCACCACTCTGTATCGGTGGGGCCCACCCCCACAGTTTAAGAACCACCGGTCTATTTCACATTCTTCCTTCAGATGATAGCAGTCATACATTTTCTGTGTTTTGCAGAGATGGGAGTTAATAGAGCCGCTGATCCGGCAGCAGGACCTTTGCCTGGCAATTTCTGCTTTCACAGCGGGGTCGAAGGTCAAGATGGAGCCCTGCAATACAAAAGAGCCGAGACAGGTAAGAGGAAATACTGTTAGCTGATCAAATTGTACTTTCAGAGCCATAAAGAACTGGACTAAAGCGTTTTTTCCTACTATTGCCTGTGGATCGGTCATAGCAAATTAAACAGTCTGTGCTAGCAGTCAGTGAGGGACACTTTAGCTGTTCATCAATAAAAAGCTTTATAGTAATAGCTTTAAAGGATAACATAGGTGAGCATATTTATCTTGAGCTTGGTGGTGTCCAGACATTTAGCACACACTGTGCAATTGTCTTTGTGTTGACTAAGGGTTAAGAAAAGAAACAGGACATGCTTTAATCTTGTGCTGCCAGTCACCGTTAACCTAATGTCTTAGGTTTTCCAGAAGGTTACTTCACTTTTGGCATCAAGCTGTTCATGCTTGATGTGCCACTCGCAGACCTGAAGTCGAACATAAAAGATTTGGACATAAGAGATGGTTTCAGCGCAGATGCTCAGCAGCCCGCCTGCCGATGATGCCAGGAGGCTGAGACAATCTGAGTTTTGCACTGATGCAGATCCTGCCAAATAAGAGTAGTTGACTTTATAGATGCAGTAGAACAAATGCTCCCATAACTTCAGACCCCACCCCGTTCCTTCCTTGTTCTCCTTTTTGTGATTATTTAATGCTCGCATCCCAGGGGGAATGGAGTTGGCTGCACGGTGATTTATGACACTAAAGAGGGAGTTATTAACTCAAACCATGTGCCGGATTCTTGCCAGGCTTTCCTCTCATCTCTCAGCTGGCCCATCGAAGTCCTTTGAGAGTATTTTTGGGAGGATGCCCATCAACGAGAAACCAGTTATTGCTGTGGGAAACATTTGGTCTCTTTGTCCTGATGCTTTAATCCCCGAGAAAGAAAAATAATACTTGTGTTTTTGACTTTGCTGCACAGAAGATAATTAACACTGTAGGCATAAAGTGACAATGGAGCCTTTATAAAAACATAAATATCAACATTAAACAACCGTCTGAAATCGTTTATGGCAATATTGTACCTTTCTGCCATGAATGTCTTTTTGATATTTTCAGTTTTCAAATCTTTCAACAATTCTGAAAGAATTTCATTATGTTTAGGGCTTTATAGGCGATATCAGATCCAGTGATCGTCTAAAAGCTGTTTAGAGCCAAGGCCAGAATGAATAAATGTAATCAAATACTCTGAGTTTCTCTGGCCAACAGATCACAAAATAATAGTGTCAGCTGCATATTACACAGTCTCCTGTTTATTGATGCATTGGCGCAGTGACATATTATTTCCTCCTTAAACAAAAGTTCTGACTGAGCACACTCTTCTAGTAGTTACAGTGTAATAACACGTGCATACACAGATGCGCTCTCTCTGGGATTTGAAGATTAACCCCACATTCACCTCTAAATTTTAATAAGCCTCCATGTGGCTCTTGATATCTGTACTTGGCAGTCAGTTCAGCTCTGAGTACTTACTCAGTGACCCAATAAAGGAACCAGTTATGCCTGGTGATTTGTAGACATCCTGCCTGAGGGACAGGTGTTTCTGGCAGGCTTTCCTTGCAGATTTCTTGTCAGATTTGCTTTACACACTGTGATGGTAGAAAATAATATTCGATTTATGGAATCAACACCTGGCTTTGTATTATGTCAGTGTTGATGTATATCCTCGCTACTTGTAAGCCAGTAGCCCCTCCCATGTAGCTAAAATGGCTTGTTTAAGACAGTGTATGAAGTGAGGGGCTGTAAGCCCAGTACTGGAAAAATTAGGATTGTTTTGAAACGTCACAGTGCAAACTGACTCCAAGAATAGTGCATCTGTAAAAAAGAAATGAACAAAATGAATGACCAGCTTTGCAACTGTTTTAGTGAAAAAAGAATATTGCTGAACTGCTCAGACTTGGGTCACATGACTGTGCATTATACTTGTAATTAAAAAAAAAGATCAGGTAATCGTGTACAAAAAGAATCAATTGTAAATTTATGCATATTTACTGGGTAGTTTATTGGTATGATATTGCATATTTTGTTTTTAAAATCCTGAGTAAATGTAGTCATTCTCTATGACATGTATTCAAGTAAAAGTAATAAGTAGTTGAAATGCCAGATTCTTTACTTGATTTTAAGTTATTTATGAGAATAGATGTTCTGAATTAATGTCTAGCTCTGAGAAATGCAATAACAAATTGAGTCTCTGTTATCTATGATTAAAGATTAGATTCATTATGTAGATTGATTCAAGACACCTTGTGATCTGAGGGCAAAGAATGGTGGAGGTGGGGGAAGGAAAGTAAAAACAAAAGTTTACTTTCTCACAAATCTATATCCACATCTGAAGCCCCTTTAAGTCTCCTGAGGTATAAAAATAAATAACTTTACACAGTATATGCACATGACTGAAAATGGCCCCTACACAGGACATCTTATCAGCAGAAATAAATTGTTTCTTCTCTCGTGGGATGGCAGGCTGCCGTGCTCTGCAGCTGGCTGTACAATGATTTTTCCACCAAGGGTGCAGAAAGTCAGTCATTCATGTGATTACTGCAATCCACCCCTGACTCAGTTCATTTCTCACTACTAACATGAACCTCCTGTGCTGATGCACATCATTTATGAGCAATGGATTAACAGGAATGAGTCAATGTGCACGAACATCTGTTAACAAACCAGCATGAAATGATTTTTTTGGTCTTTACAGAAGTGGAAGCCAAAGGGCACAGCTCTGCAGCACATGGTCAGTGGCCTCTGCCTGGACAGTCAAACCCCGATGGGACCTCCAGTCATTTTACAGTGTCGCCCCCAGATGGCCAGCCAGTCCTGGGAGCCACAAGTCATTACCTGAGCCACAGCAAATGAGAAGAGGGAGAGGGAGGAGCAGATTCTGGACCCAGCCTGCAGAAGGAATTGGGGTATCACGTCTGCACACTGTTTGTCGCCTTGCTGAAGGATAAAAGTAGTGGGAACTCTACTGTCTTGAAGTCAACTTCTAGCTCCTGCTCATTGTGTCTTGGGGACAAGAGCGCGCTGAAAACATTTTAAGACCCTGTTGAACAAAACATCTAAGGTCTTCTGTGTACAGTGCTTCATCCTTCCAGGATGCTTTAGTTCTTCTGAGTAATCTACGCTTTTCACAAAAAACTGTCACACATCCCACTTTTCATTTCTGTATCTATTCTGGTCTATGTGTTGCTTCAATCTGGAATAGTGAAGATTACCCGAAACGAAAGAGTGCATAATGTACTGTTGCTAATATGCTGACTTGCACTTGACCCACTCTGAGTCTTGAGGTTTTTGGGCTGTTGAAGCATGTCTGATGACTGTGTGGACCAGGGCAGTTTTATGTGCAGTCAACTAAAATCTGAAAACAATTTTTTTTTTAATTGTTATTGCTGAATGGCAGTCTTGAAACCACCATGCGAAGCACTGTCAGAAAGATTATTTATTGTTTTGCATGGTCAGACCCAAAGAATGGTTTTATTTTTTCTCCGTCTCTACAAAGTTTTATGTAAATATTTAAAGCAGGTAATGGCTTGTTTTGTGTAAAGTTCTCTATATGTTGTTTGAAAAAATAAAACGTGGTAATGGAGACATTGCTGTTGTAGTCATTTGAATAATAAACGGGATTACTGCACCATCACTGCTCTTTTCATCATTTTATAAAACAGCAAAAATCCTTTTTTTTTTTTTTTGCATTGTACATGTTTGCATCCTAATTCACAATGGATATCCGAATAATTACATGGGGCTTATTGTAGCCATTTCCAACTTCATTTGTATCCTTGGAATCTGCTAGAGTAGATTTACATGATTCACAGTTAAAAGTAATAATTTTATTCCTTTGTGTAGCCAAACAACTGGTTTAGCTTCTCTTACTTTAAGCCTTCTTTTTTGTCATTGGTTGCCCTCTCAAACATAAAGTTTAAAGAGTGGTTGTTTGGACTCAGTGCCTAACATAACCATTTTTAGACTATCCCCTGTCCTTGATATAACAAACGCTAAAGTGAGTCTGAAATGGACTGAGGTTTTGGCTCACAGGCATTACTTTCACATACTCTGACCAGATTATTTGAAATTATCCATTTAAATATACAAAGAAAAGCATTGCAGTTCCCCTTTTAAGTCCATTATATTTGAGACATTTATTTAAAGTATATATATTTTTAATATAAAGCAAAAAAAATCAAGTAGTTTAATGGAGTTCTTCAGATGCTGACAGTAGATTATTCCATTACTTGGGGCCAGCGTGAAATTAGGAGTGTATTCCCTTTAAAAGTAAGGGCCATGATTAGCTTCAATGTGTGCATAAATAATCTTTTTAATTAGGCAACGCAGTAAGTGGGGAAATCTGTAGACTCATTGCGACATGATTGAAACCGTTCACCACTCATTACTCACACAAAGTGACCACCAGGGGGCATAATATGCTAACTTTTTTTTCATTATAACGTTGGTAACTTCATTGATGGAACCTAGTGGTAAAAATACTAGATATACAAAATTTAAATAAATTTAAAAATAAAATAAAAGACTCTCGAAGAGTTTAGATAATTAAGGGGAAAAAAGATCGGCATTAACAACGTATTGGAGACTGGGAGGTCACTGCTGGGGCACTGTGATGATTATTAAAGATACTGTGCAAGGCTGCATAACAGGCTTGACAACTTTGTGAACCAAAGGTTTTTTTTGTTTCCCTCCTTGTTGGTTTTATAACCTTTGAGGACACAATACAAGCTCCACTGCAGCTTACAAGGCTTTAAAGGTATGCGAGGAATGCAACTTTATGCTGATAAACTTCTGGCCTTTTCAAGGGGTCAGTGAAGACAGCGGGAGTGGAGGAAGCCTTTAACTGGATGTATATGGAAAGAAACACGTTTCACTCATTTAAACGAGCTTCGTTTTTGTTATGTGGTGAGAACGTGATGGCCTACACAGGAAGGATGATTACGGTGAAACTCGGGATGGCACTGCACTGTTGCCCTAATTTTTTGTCGTTTCAGGAGTGACCTCACTGACAGGGTTATATTTGCATATCACCCAGACAGTGAATTTGTAATGAAGGTGCTCGTTAAAAGTGGTGCAACTGAACGTTTGCAATGGTGCTTTACATACCGTACTACATTTGAGAGGAAAATAGCACTAATGTATGAAATACAAGAAAACTTAATGAGAAACATATGCATACAGTTTGATACCTGCTTACATAGAAACCAGCCCCACTGTAACAAAATACGAAAAGTAAAGTGTTGCTTACAATTTATTAATTGTAACAATAATCCATCACACACTCTTCAGGTCAGATTATAGTAGTTATATATTTACAGGTGCATCTTAATTGAAGCTAAACCCGATAGACAGAAGCGGTGTCTTACAATGTGCTTTCACGCCTGCTTCTCTTAATAACTACGAGACGAACAGCATAAAGAGTGAAACTCAGCTTCGATCCAGGTTGCACTATCGACCATCGATCACCTTCGATGTACACGCGCCGGCCAATGGGGGTCACGCGGAGGCGGTCCGTTGCTAAGGAGGAAGTTTGATTGAGGCTCTGAGTAGCAGCCATTCAGCGGCGGTGGCTGAAGCGATTGGACTGCGAGCGTCTCTCCCGACACTTTCTGTGGAATTTGAATTATTTTGGCAGGGCACGGCTCGTGATACACTGGTGACGGCATACACGGGGAATCTGCAGGGTCGCAGCGGTGATCGCAGGTAGGTTGAAAGTGGGCTGTGTGCACTTTGGTAAGCATGCCCGGTGAAGCTTGTTAGCTCACCGAGCTAAGCAACACTAGCTTGTGCCTCTCTGATGCGGCACACGGAGCTATGGCAGCTCCCATTAACACGGCGTTTAGCGCTCTTGCTAACCTAACAAAATAGCACAAGCAGGGACAAAATAGATGGTGTTAAGCTGTCTAACATCTTTATTTCCTGTTAGAAAATATCTGCTTCTGTCTTGCCGAATAAGCTAAGGTGTTTAAGAGGTATGGCTAACGTTAGTAGCGTTCTCAAGTTACCTGGATAACTTTAGGGGGATGGACGTTATTCAGCAAAATGACCTAAGCTCATCGGATAGCTTGCTCCTAGCACACGGTTTGTCACGACATTCACTTACACCCTATCACACGGTTCGCTTGTGTAATACCATCCTTACAAATGGTATTAATCGGTAGCTTGGCAGTTTAGTGACTTGCAAGTTTGTCCCCCCCGCCCCCCTCAAAAAGTGTTCTGTAACAATAAAGGTGAGTCTTCTTAACACTCATCCATCCAGACAGGTTGATCACCATGACGATACAGACTGTGACTCAGAGTCTTAGCACTCGGAATGTTTCTGAAGTGTGATAATGTGTCTTAGATCGTCTTATATGGCAGGTGGATCTTTTCTTGCAAGAGAGATCAAGAAGTCTGCCATTCATGATCAGATAACCATCAGTGGTCAGATTACCTTCCACGTGGAGACTGTACTAAGATAACCATGTGACAGATTGTGTGATAGCCCCAGCAGCACAACCATACGGTTGAAAACATCCTGTTTATTGGACGCTAATTCTATTTGGATTCTGTCATTAGGCATTTTATTATTGGAGCAGCGATGTAATTTGTGACCTGAAATAATACACAGGATGAGTTATTTGTTTTTGTTTGGAAAACACAGACGCAACCCTCTGACGGGTCGAGGAGAGGTGCTGAAATCCAGTTATTCTGACTGTAAATATCAGATTATAGTAAAATTTCAAAATATGTCCTGCATTGCTTATTTTATTCTGCTTACAATACTAGCACTCGGTTTCAGAGTGCTCACAGCAGTGGGGGATGTAGTCAAGTGCTATTCAGTTTATATACTTTTTACTAGGTATTGCTAGTGCCAGGTTTGACTCCCTTTTTCATTGAGAACAGAAATTCTTTGTGGCAGAGATTCATAGGTTGGACATGTTGTATGTTGTGCTCGTCACCTTTCTTCCCCATTGTGATGCTCAGTTTGAACTTGGTCTTGTTAACCAGCTCTCCCAGTTGCTGCCATGTGATTGGCTGATCATTTGTTTGAATTAAGGAGTAGTTGATCAGGGGCACCTACTAAAGTGAGTGAAGAGGACATTAGGAGTGCTCGCACATCAGCTGTTGACTGCTGTCATGCTATCTGCAGGGAAGATGACATTTAGTGATGGCAGGGGATAGTTATCTGTTGTGTCATGTCAGTTTTGCACAGGCTAAATGTTTAATGATGGTGTGTTAAAGACCTGAAAGAAGCAGTAGACCTGTTAGATAAGGGTTAGAAAAAGAATGTTAGGGCAGAAAATAAAAACAAAACAATTAAAAAAGATCTGCCAAATGTATATTTTTAACAGTGATTTTGAATGTATTGGATGTATCAATGGATTAATTCCCAAACAGGATAGTCTTAATTCTATTTACCATATGTAACAAATCCTGAATGTTCTATAAAAGCAATACAGGAAAGAGAAATAGTGTCATTATTGTTATTCATCCCTAGTGGTAGCAGAGTAATGACCAGAGAGGTGCAGTTTGATGTCGGCTCTTATCCAGGGTTTGTTCTGCATTTACAACATTTTGGCACCCATCAAAGACAATTTAGCCTCCACTCTGAGGAAAATCACCAGGACTGTCATTTTTGTCAATATTTTTTGCTAGTGGTCTCTAAATTACTCAGCCTTAAAATGCACATGCAGACTTCTGTAAGGTCTGGCTATACAGACCCTTTTGTGGTTATGTGTGTAGCAGTCTCCAAAGGCTCATTTTGTGTTCTTTTTGGGGGACTGCTGCTTTTCCCTTACAGAGGGAGATGAGATTTTTTCTTTCCTCCAAATTTTGAAAGGGATGGCTTAGCTCATCTCACAGGATGAGGGAGGCAAGATTGGCTACCAGCCACCAAACCCACTGTGTAAGTCTGTCAGCTGTTTGGGAGAGGAGGAGAATGCAGGAGCAAGTCTCTGTCCTGGGCTCTGTGATTCACTCTGTGGGAGAATCTAGCTTTAACTCTCAGCATTTTGCTCTCTTCTCAAAGGCGGGGCCTACACTTGGCAGTGAGTCGTACATGTGAATACTGAGTAGTGATGCAACTGCAGGTAGATAAAGTTGCCGTATGATGACGATGCAGTCTAAAGCTTTACCCTGATATAGGACCCTGATAGGAGAGTGATAGCTGAGCCTCTTGCTGCTCATGGTGAAATTAGAGTGAATGTCGCTGTCAGCTTAGCATTCAGTCCAGCGTTACCTTGGTCATTAAGAGATGACTGATATAGCAGATATGTTTTTTGTTTTCACATTATCGTCAAACAGTCTGGATCAGGGTGATGTGTATGTGTCATCTGAGCCAGTTTCAGTGTTGTTATCCATATCCTGTGCTTTTTGTCAACACCAGTTCTTGGTGGTAGTGATGCACCCATTAAATGAAATGCTCAGATGTTTACTTATTAAACCTGACTTGCGTGGGAATGCGAGAAAAAGGGTTTGTAAACTCATCTTCACCGAGATGCCTGCAAACCCGATTCTCTTCCAAGTGATTTTTCGTCAGGCGTGAGAATGTTATCCAAACGCGTGGGTCTTTTGATGATGTAGATGTGCGAGATTATGACACG